TAACGCTCGCCGTACTGTTGGGGGGGAGAAGCGGTGGGGGGGAGATGTTCATGTTGCTGCAGTCTGCAGTCTGACCGCTAGATGTCGCTAAAAGTTACACACTGTACCTTTAACATAACTGTTTAATTCACCTAGAGTCCAAGAAAGATCTCCAAATATTTTTCCTAAGTATTTTTGATTTAGAAACCTTGATAAACATTTGTGTAATTGTTGAGACATTCTCTTAAGACATTTTTTTCTTCATAAAATGACAGAACTGACTATATTTATTTGAAAGTCCTGTTGACCCAACATTATCCAGTAGGGATAATGCAGTAACTCCTTGCTTTTTCCATTTTACAAAATTCCCTTGTTCCCCAGGCAGTTTAAGAGGGGCCGAAAAAAAGAAGAAAAGGTTCAAAGCCATGTAGTTGGAGTTAATAGAGCACTTTACATAAGTAGCCTATCTCTAAGTGTTTTGAACTAAACTAGAGATAAAATATTGGAAATAGCTATTGCTATATAGAATAAAAAGATGTATATATATTAAAAAACATGAGAAAGTTGTCTTTTTCTTTTGATGGCCAACCTGCAGACATTTTTTCTATATTAATATTGCACTACATTTGTTTCTAATGGTCCAAATATGTTTACATGCACAGAGAATATTTCTCCATCCCACATCTTTGTACCAATTCCTCAATGATAACAAAGGTTGCAGATATTTTTGTGTCAGTTTGTACCTGACTTTCAGATGTACCAAAAAAAAATATGCTAAAACTGTGGCCACAGTTGTGTCTCAGATTTGAAGAATTACTTTTATTTTGTTAAATGTACATTTGCATATTCTCCACCTGTAGATTTGGTCAGTTTGGTCATTAGAATAGGATCACACTGTGCACCATCTTTGTAGATCTACTCTGCACGTACAAACACATTGTTATAAGACCCACAAACCTTCTGAAATTCTGGCCCATAGGACTTTTTGAAATTGTTATCCTCCTCTTACTGTATTTTCTAATTTAAAGGCATCACCAAACCCCATCATGTTGATTGTCATTTACTAGTTTCAAAGCATTCTAAATGTGGAGTCTTTCCATTTGATTAAGTGCCAAAAAGCCTGAGTGTTAACATCCTAATGTGCGGTTTGAAACCGTAGTATCTAAGTAAAATCCACTGCATTCATTTGTGTCCATTCCAACACACAACATTCTGCCATTGAGAGGAAATAGCAATCAATTAATATGATTTCAAACTGGCTAGTTTGCCTGCTCTAATAGGTTGTGGAAATTGCATTGCTGTCTGTGTGTTTGTATAGATGTAGCAATTTGAGCCAGAGAGTCTCCTGAATGTGAAGTCAAGGGAAATAAAGACATTTATGAAGCACCAGTCAGGGCGTTGGGCTCACATCATTGTGTCCAATGTTATTATGGATTGGTTGTTTTTCCCAGTAAACGGACATAGCCTGGCTGCCTTTCCTTGATGCTACTTTATTACTTTAAATTCCCTTATGCTTACTCCATTGTTTCTCCCTGCAGGAGCTCATCACAGCTTGGTATATTGGTTTTCTGTGCCTCATCCTGGCCTCTTTCTTGGTCTATTCTGTGGAAAAGGAGACAAATGACGAGTTTGAGACCTATGCTGATGCTCTTTGGTGGGGACTGGTAAGGCTTTGGAAAAAAAAAACACTTGTGCTGACTTTTTAAAAAAGAATGTCTTTTAATTGTTTAAACTTTCATTAATGAAAAACAAAACTCTGCATCACGTAACCTCAATATGAAGCTGATATGTTCATGTTTCTATTGTTTATTCATACTTTTTTCACCAGATCACTCTCACCACCATTGGCTATGGTGATAAAGTTCCCAAAACCTGGAATGGACGTTTGCTTGGAGCTGCATTTAGCATGATAGGTGTGGCTTTCTTTGCGCTTCCTGCTGTAAGTATGTGGGTTTCTTGGGAATGTTTTAAAACCAGTGCTATTTGCTTAATAGCACATTTATAGCACTGATTGAGATGACTGCTGAGTGCCTGTTAATGCTGATATTCTAAAGGAATAACTAGATAATTTATTCCTACTCCATGGGCCTGATCTACTAAGATCCTAAATAAACAAAGCTAAATTGCTTGTGCAAACAAATAAAATGCATGTGCAATTAGTGGTTAGCATGTTCCGGATAATCCAATTAGTTAATGCAAAATTGATAACATGTTTCAAAGTGCTGCTGACCACCCTATTTGAATGAGGACTTTGCGTGTGCTTTTGCCATGAAGAGTTTTAGGGCACTGAGTGGATTTATTTTGTGAGTCTCAAAGGCAGCAGCAATTTGCAGCAGCGTTGCACCCCGATGGCAAGCATGTTTGTTATGTGGGGAATATGCAGACAGAGGATAAAAGAAAAGACCTTCTCTGTTTCTGTGAGATTAAAATAATATTCTAAACCTAAAGACTATATAAGGAGAAACAAACTTGGAGTATCCTCTGGCATCTGGATCATTTTAACTACTGCTACCAGTTAAGGTTGTTGTTTCAATTGCTGAAAGTAATGTCACTCCAATGTCAATCTCACTTCTTTTTTTTGTCTTATACTGTTGTATCTGATAATTTCAGTGTGTAATTTTCTCTCTTTTACGGATTAAACATGGACTTCATCTTTTTCTGATTAGGGGATTCTTGGCTCAGGCTTCGCCCTCAAAGTTCAGGAGCAGCACAGGCAGAAACATTTTGAGAAGAGACGTAACCCTGCAGCGGGTCTAATCCAGGTATCTGTCAAAGATAAAACTCATGATGCATCACAATTGTATGCATATAAAGTTTGTTTTTTCCCTCTTGGTTGAAAACTAATGGAAAAACTTTTCCTTCAGGCTGCATGGAGGTTTTATGCCACCAACCTTTCCCGTACAGATCTGCTGTGCACTTGGGATTTTTACGAGCAGACTGTAGCTGTTCCAATGTACAGGTACGTGATAACTTAAAAACACAGCTCCCTTAAATCCTTTATCTTGAAATATTGTTTCTACTTTATGACATTCTGCTACCATATTGGAAGGAAAGTTGCATTCAGACCCACAAGCTGTCTGTTCACTTTCTGAAATGTTTTGTGCAACTGTCTGTGGCACAGCGATCTGTTGAACAGACAACTGTTGATGCAGCCACTTTGAGAAATTAATTTGACATACAGCCTTGTGACTCAGCATATAAGCCTTTTAGCTTAACTTTTCTACGGCAGATTTATGACTTTCAAGGCTTAACTACCGACTTATTGGAAATGGTCTGTGTTCCTTTTACCTCAAGTTAAAATTTGAGGTGAAAAAGTGATGGCTAAATGCCAAAGAAATACAGGATGACACAATGCTGCTGTACCTCTCTTTTCACAGAATCATTCCTCCTCTGAATCAACTGGACCTGCTGAGGAATCTGAAAGGAAAATCATTCAGGTAGGTTCATGACCAAATCAGCAACAGAGCAGATGCTGAGGAGATGAGGCCAGGCTGATGTGAATAGTTCTTAAATCAGCATCTGTATTTAGCAATTTAAAGCAAAATGATGGCTCAAATACCTGCAAAAAGTTAATAAAGCTCAGTACGAAGGATTGCTGTTAAACTATAGAGAAGAAAATATCTTTTTTTCGGGGGGAACCGCGCCCAGGTATGCTTTGGCTCAGTTGAATAAAAGTGTTAGAGATAAAACTGCTTATTCTAGATTGAGTTTAAAATAGGAAAAACAGAGGAGAACTCTTATTATCCTAAAAGCATTTGATCCAAAGAATTTCATTAACATCTTGTTTTAGCAGTTTTTAGGTACTTGTAGGTTTTATTTATAAATCTAAGGAGGCAAACAGGAAATGGAAGCTAAAGAAAGACATGCAGTAAAGGTCAACAGGTTGGGACTCAAACCGATGACAGTCACATGAAGGACTAAGGCCTTTTTACAAGGGTTAAATGCTTTACCCCTGCACCACCACCAGGTCTAACATGTTTTGTATAGACCTGTCCTAATTTGTTTAAAAGTAGGCAGTATAGGTCCCCTTTAACCCTCGGTAACTCACTTGTTGTGAATTAACAAACAGAAAACGAAGCCTTTTCAAAACAAATCAGGTAATATGAATGAGAATCTATTAATCTAAATAACAAATGATTTCCCTTTTTTCTCTTAACGCTCAACCCTAACCCGCATATCATGACTAATACGACCTGAATTAGATGTGTAGTTAGAGAGGATGAAATAAAACTTTGTTAAAGATTTCAGAGTTTTTTCTTACCTTCTTGTGAAACCATACTCTCATTAAGCACATTTAAGTTATTTTTCAGAATTGGGATCACATTATGATAAGGGGAAAAATTCTCTATGTATTCTGTACTGATCACAATACATTAAAAACACACTTTTAGTCCTCGAACACATTAAGATGAACACAATACCATTGCATAAACAGTTTAGAAAAAATATACATCCAATTAAAGGTATAGTGGAGGATTTTTCCAATTTTTTTTTAAAGGACCCTCTCCACTGTTTCCGAACAACCGCCCTAGCCCCTAAATCCCTTTATCACTACAGTATATAGAGCAGGGACTATACAGTGGACTTTATAGCGAACTGAGTTAACTTACCGTTCGGCAGACCTTTTAAGTAACGAAGTACAAATACTTCGTTACTGTACCTACGTACGCTTTTTAGGTATCTATACTTTACTCCATTACTTATTCTTCTTCCTGCTTCTGACTTCTACTCATTACATTTTCACACAAATATCTGTACTTTCTATTTCTTACATTTTTAAAACAACCGTTACTCGTTACTCTTGGCTTCGGTTTAATGTTTATAAATATTTATTTCACCTCAATTGGACAATCTGGGGTGCAACAATCCATCTAGATTAAACACATAGTTTTACAATTATTATGAGCTTGGAGATATAAGGTCTGAGTGTGGTCTGAGGGCGCCATGGCGACACTCCAAGACTGTTTTGGATGCTTTGACTGGAATATCTTCAAGGCTGCAGCAACATATGACAACTTATTAAATATTAATGAGAATGCCATGACTGTGTCAGCCTACATTAAATCACACTCAAGTCATTTGATTTTCAAAAGTCAGTACTGTAAATAGCTTTAAGAAAAAAGCTTCTCAGATAAAAGACTGAATGTTCGTATTTATATTCTCAGTAATAAAAACATTTAAAACTACTAAAACTATGAAAAAACAAACTGGTTGGTGGTTTAAAATGACCGTGCTTCCATATACGCTGGAAAGAGAGGAGCTGTAACTTTTTGTTATTCATATATTTATTCAAATAGAGTGTCATGTGTGTAGCTCCAAACATGGTCAAATAGTTAACTATCCACACATTTGGGATAAATTCACAACCTTAATTCAAATAAAATAAGTTATTGACAAAAAAACATTACACTCACACAGTTCATAATTCTTAACTTGGCTGATGAAACTTAGCTAAATCTAAATGGTCTACACAGAAGAAAAAAGGCAAAGGAAAATGGATCACAATGATGCGATGATATAGTAGTTCAGATTGGATTTTAAGTTTGAAAAACAAAGATTGTTTTCAAGAGGTTGCAATGAGGTCAAATAAACTATAATTAATAAAGTAATTTAGAGAAATTGCAATGTAAAAACCAATTCACACTGCAGATTCAAAAAATATATAAAATGTTATTTAGTTAAATGGTATTGCATTGAATGATTTGCCAAATCAGAAAACAATTATTAAAAATAATTAATTATCAACCTGATGTGATTTTTCTAAGGGAATGAAAACATGTAGCAACCTTTATTGTACATGGTTTAGCTTTGCTTAGCTAGGTTTAGCTATGTCATATTAGTGTTTAAACCCTTATTTAAAGGAAAAGTCCAGTCAGCAAGGACTGATCAATGGATCATTATTTATTCCTATAACTTATACATTCCTGGTGATTTCATCAATTTAGCTTTAATCAGTAACAAAAATTAAAAATAATAATTTTAGACGTGATCACTGAGTCTAGGAGCCATTTTTGCCCAAATATACTAACACCTCACTCCTGCCATCTTCCAGCAGTGATGTCATGGTGCAGTAAGCCTAGTGCCATTCTCACCGCTTTACACACAAAATCAATGGCAACTATTAGATACATCTGCGTCAACAACAATTATTGAAGATTTCCAGGGGACTTCACCATTGAAATTTCACCTTTCCGATTCATGATCCACCACGGACAGATTTGTCGTTGGATTGCCAACTTGAAGAGGGAGGATTTGCCATCGAACTTCTGGCCAGAGAAAAAATACATAATATGTAGCCAACATTTAGAAGAAGAATGTTTTCAAGATGACTTGGATAATAGCGCGTTGTGACAAACACCAGATATAGCATTGGGACTTGCTCAACAGCCGATACCACACTGTGAGTCACAAACCGGTAGGTGGCAGTAGTGCTCTCTAACAAACATGGATGCCTCCAGTTAATTATATTCAATTTATCTACCGGTATATAGTACCAATTCACAACACATGTCATCTCAAGGCACTTTACAGTTCACCGGATCATCCAGTCAAATTGATTCAAAGTTTTCTATCTAAGGAAAACCATTTGATTGCATCGACTCATTGACTCAAATGCAATCCCTCACACTAAGCATGCTTGTAGCGAAAGTGGAGAGGAAAAACTCCCTTTTAACAGGAAGAAACCTCCAGCAGAAGGGGCTCGGTTCAAACTAAATTACTCTTGATTAAAAACACTTATCATTTATTGAACAGTTTTTGTAATAATTTCGTATTTAAAGTACTTTCAGATGTTTGAATTCTGAATATGACCGGACTTTTCTTTTAAATAAACTTTTTTATAATCATATACAACTGTTCAAAACATTCTAGCTTGTGGTCCTGCTAGCATGTGGTCATTATTAGCTTCCCAGTTAAACATTAATCAGAAATCATCAAAAACCCAAATTATATAGCTGTTGATCTCCATTTTGAGGAATGATGAGGAATTTGTTGTGAATTAGGTCCGATGATTACTAGAAAGAGAAAAGGTGCAGATAGATTGTTTTTCTTTCTTTTATTTTTTATTTTTGCAACTATCTGGTTCTGGGAAGCAGGCTGCAGGTCAGACTTTACATTGACATATTTTGAAGAACTTACAATCGCTCAGTTTGCAGGGACAGACATTAAGGTGAGAGCCTGCCCAATGCGGCTCTGCACTGTATCCATGGGGAAAAGAGGAAAAGATGTGGGGGTGTCATGGCTTTATAGCAAATCCCAGCAGCAGGGTTAACTTTCCCTGTTCCACCAATTTTCCACATGAATATCATGGCTGTGGCCTTACAGAGGAAAGAAACTCTTCAATAACCACCTTTAAAGAGTACAGCACAGAGATATACCTCAACATCAGCAGGTCATGAGGTTGGTTTCCATCAGATTCTTTTAATATGTATTTTGAAGAAAGGCTTGATGGAAATGGCAAAAAAAAAAAAAAAACTATTTGCAAAAAAGATTTTACACTTGAGCGTTTTTTTTTTTGTTTTTTTTTGGCTATTTCGAAAAGGATCAATGCTCAAACAACTGATCAGCCATTTTTGCAGTTTGGATCTTCCCAGATATTCCTGTTCCTAAACATGGCTGGAACAAACTTCGCCTTTACTAGTTGACATTTTAACTTAAAAGCAACTTGCCTGACAGCAACATATTCATTAAAACCTTCCTTGATTTACTGACCTATAGTCAGTGGTAGATTGCAGCCTCTACTTCCTGTTTTTTACAGGCATTGGTGATGCTGTATTATGGATGGTGTTGTATGACAACCTTACGCTTTGCAGTGCATTGTTAATTCCCTTTAAACCAAATGGAAACACCACAAATTCATATTTCATTTTTTCCCCAAAACTTTTAAAAGTTTGACTAAAATTCGCATTTCAGTTGAATGGAAACATGGCTACAGTTAGAGACCACTTACATGGTAATCAGTTACTGGTATATGTAGGTATGTGTGAGGAAAAAGAGCCATTTATGGTCCGCCTGCAATAATGTAAACATGGAGTCTGCTAACCTTTACTGGGACCGTTAGCTTTGGTCAGATAAGATTAATGTTATTTAAAGGGCAAAAACACTAATTTCATTGGCAGATCATTCTATTTAGCTGGTGGTATTTGGGGAAAATACACTTCTTTTAAGAAATATTTACTTATCCTTAGATCACTTTTGAAGTGTATTTATTTCACACTTTTAAGAATATAATATTTAATATATATTAAGACTTTAGAGAAACTAAGACGGAGAAATAACTCCTATCCATCTATAAAATGCAGCTGCAGCAAAACATTCTCAAATCATGAAGCTACCATTATCATGCTTTAGAGGTGGAAAAATGTTATTTGATTTGAGCATATTTTTGGGCACAATCACACTTTACTATTAAGTGAATTAGTGCCCCCTGCTGGCATGTTTGTCTGTCAACATGCCACCAATCCACATGTTGTGCTGTACAGTATGAGATTATTGCACAGTTATGTTATACATTTAAGTTGTTTTATCTGTTTGTAGTGCTTTAAATTGTTCTACTCTAGTGTCTCTGATTGATGTTAATTCTTGTAAACAAACAGCTTTTATAAGTCTGTGCCTTTTCTTCTTACAGGAAAGACTCTCAGGCTGAAACCTCACCCAGGTCTGTGAAATGATCTCTTTTTCATTCTCCTCTCTCACCTTCCTTTGGCTTCACTTCAATTTTGCTCTTAGATGCTGCTTAGGCACTCTTCTTGGGGGAGTGTGTGCAAAGTACACATACGTGCTAGTGCAGATGTGTTTGTTTGCCGTGTTGGATACGATTGTGGCCGAGCAATAAGTGCCTCCTTCAAGAATGGTCTTGCTCCATTTGCTCTCTTGCTCAAAGATCAGCTCACTCTGCTTCCTCTCCCAACGTTCATCTTCACCTGATATCCACAGGGTGACCAGATCCCAACTAACTGTCGGTGTAACTATGTTTATGTTGGATGTGTGATTCAGGCTGAAAGTTTGAGACCCATATAATTCCCACTGCATCACAGCATGATGCACAGTTTGCTATTAAGCTGTTATTGCTCTATAATTGTTTTTGTACAGATAAATGACAACACAGAAGTACTTCAGCTGTTTAAATCAAAACATGTTGACTTTTTATAACAAGGGGATTCCCCCAAAAAGCTTAGGTAGCGTAATTGTAAAAGACTATTGCAAGTAAGGGTCACCCATTTTAGGCTTAGAAGAAAAATAATTTAAAATACTGTACAATATGCCTGACTAGAATAGCTTTTGATACAGGCAATATGGCTCTCTACTCAGGGGGGCAGTCTTTTATAGGACGTAAGGAATGCTTGGAGAAAAAAAAGAATTTGTCTATTTGGCCACAAAGCATGATGGTTAAATCCAGTATTTCCAAAGTGGATTGTAAGTGATGTAACATCCATAACTTGTGAAAAGTTGGTATCTAAATAGATTCCTTGGTTCTACATTTACAAGCTATTTGCAAGAACGATAATCACTAACTACATGTGAAAATATAGCAAACTTGGACTTATCAAAATACTTTTTTATTTTGTAGTATCACTACTTAGTTTGTGTGTTTTCACACCTTACTGCTTTGTTTATTTAAGGGAAGATTTGCAATTTTTCCACTTTAAATGGACGTGGGTAGAGCACTGAAGAAAGAGCAGAGTTACTTCAACATATGTTAGAATGAGTAAGTACAGTAGAAGTGAAAAGTAGGCAACTATGAAATTACACAGGAAATAGTAAAAAAAAGTATTCAGTAAAAAAGCTACTCAAGCATTGAATAACTAATCATAGCATCTGAATAATATTGAAAACTCATGTAATAAAACAGATACAAATACAAAATTTGTTTATAATTTCTGGTATTTTAAAAAAGATATTTAAATTGTAAGAAACTTTTTTTTGTACACACTTTTACCAAAATATTTTTTCCTACAAACCAAACTTAAAACATTTAAATACTGCCCGGACCATTGATCGTCTACTTTCACCTCTTCAGGACATTTGCTGACCTCCTATTCTTTATCTATGGGGTCAGATTTGGTGATGGATCCTCATTTCCAGCAATAGCAGCTTTAACTATCCTGTAAACATTTACCACATTTACCTTTGTTTAGTTCAGTCAAGTTTTCTACGGCAAACTTTAAAGCTACGCAAATTTTTACCACAAACAAACAGTCTCCTTTTAACATAAACTGAAGGCATGCGTGTTTCTCTCTGGTGCATTTTAAGCCATAAAATTAGCCTGACGTAGTCAGTCCTAAACGTTGTGGGCGGGACTAAGTTCGGAATGGCACCCAGGCTACCATAAAATGGCAGTTTTTATTAAATGAGTTTACTCACATATGGTACATAGCCAAAAATTTCACTCTAGTAGGAATATTATCTAATAATATTACACAATTGAAGGTTGTGTACTGTGTATTATACGTAACGTACAAGTAGCTGCAGCAAAATTAGTCCTGAAAGTATATTTTATCTAAAAAGGTGCTCCAGTAAATGTTACTAAGTAACTACTTGCTACCAACCAGTGTCTTTCATTTACTCAACTTATAAATCCCCTCGCTCTGTGCATCTGCTCTGCAGCGTCGGATTAAAAAAAATAGAAGATGTTGAATGTTACGCGATAAGGTTTGAAACTGTTATGCAGTCTCCAATAAAGAGGGACACCTGGCCACCCAAAGCACACAAAGAAGCTGTTCTTTGACCCCGCCCACCCCCCTATCTTTCAGCATCGCCTCAGCAGAGTTTCTTTGGAACACTTTAAGAGCTATGCTTGAGTTTCACCTGACTGTTTTGGAAAAGAGAACATGTTAAATAATGGATGATGTAGAAACACTTTATCAAATCAGTTTTTTTGGTCGGAAAGGTAACAAATTGTTGTGTATTTGCACTTAAAAGTTTGCATCAAATTATTTTAGCAAAAGACAACATATACTGTACTCCAGTTATGATAAAGTGTTACTGGCATCATATTATTGCACAAAATCATGTTTTTGTTACTGTTTCCACTGCTGTATTGTATCTTTTTATGTCTCCTCTACTGCCCACCATTCCAGTAGTGAAAATGCACACAAAGACAGACTTTGTGGGTGCTGCCCAAGAACTCTTAGGTATAGTTGCTGCACAGATACTAATAAGCTGCACTTGCAAGTTCTTGTGTTTTTGTTTTTTATTTATTTTACTATTCCCCACCTTGTTTACTTAATTTTTTTTTTCTTTAACACAAAGCTAAACAAATAAGGGTCAAAGACAAGTTCATACATGTTTTATTTCAAGATTGGGCCACATGTTTGTGAAGGTTCTGTCAGCGATTTGTACATAAAAAGAAAAGCTACTCTTCCTCAACCTTTTATGCTTTTTTTTTTCCTCAGAGAAGATGCAGATACACAACCGTTAAGGTTCCCTGCCCATGTTGATTTATGGTTTTGTTTAGTTATGTCGTTATGCAGTTAATTTGCTTGCTGCCTTTTTTTTTTTTTTTTTGCCAGATCAGCTCTCGTTAAACTCCGTTCAGCAGACAAGCTGCTTACTGTTGAGTTTCTAATAGTTCCAGAGTATCTGACGGAGCATTTACTATCAGGGTGATTTATTATTTTTTTTTTTGCATGATTCATGTACACTTTTTTGTTTTGTTTTGCATAGAGTGAGACCACAGCTCTCCCTTTTGAGGCGCACAGTGCCACTTTGCTTCCCATGCATGCCCGCTTGTAGCTTCCTGCTGCTTGCCTGACCCACTGAATGCTCCACTATGCTCTTATGTGGACATGGCTCGTTCTACTGTAGGAGATTGGCCTTTTTCTTTTCTTCTGAGGTAAGGAAAATTGTCAAAAGTGCTAAACTCTGAAAAAATGATTTACAAGTAAAGTCATGATAAATAAAAATGAAGCACTGACTTGATTTTGGGAATTATCTTAAACAATAAATGATTCACATTCAATAACTATTTATCTTTTGTTACTTGCTGTAAATAGTCGGAAAGCCAGCCTGAAGGACAAAGTGTTTCCCAGTCCTTCCAAAGCCCCTGTGGTCAAAGGGAAAGCTCTCTCCCCCGGGGCTGAAGAAGGGGCTGAAGCCAACCCAGGCAAGGTCACCAAGACTTGGAGCAGAGTCCGGGGCAGCACCTCACGCCAAAATTCAGATGGTAAGAAAACAACTTAAAATACCCAATATGACTAAACAAAAACCAAGCATTAGAGTGCTGCTGAAATGAAGTTAGTGTGGATTCTTTAAAGTAATTTTTATCTAGACCAATGGATGAATTGCTCTTGGTATATTTTAACTGAACATGATAGAATTGACCTATTTCATATTACGAAGCAATAAATATTATATTTACTACATATATCAGTTAAATCACAGATTCATTCTAAAGTTTACATTGCATACAATCCCTTTGCTGGCTACTGTGGAGCCACAGGGGTCAGGAAGGGGCACTGTCTGCAGACCTTCTCTAGAAGTGGGACTGGTATTTTCAAATGGGGAAAAGGCATAGAGAAGCACATCGGGTCAGACATGAACCAAAGGATCTATTCCCATTGGAGTGTTCTGGTCTGCTATGGAAAAGAAGAGGTTTGCTAGTGTTCATCAAAGTGTAACTGCCGAACCAATCCCTAATCTACGCCTCTGCAGTTGGGTGGAGTCTGTCACAGCAGTACGCTGCAATGCACTACAATACTGGATAAAACAAGTGGTTCTGCTCTGTTTGGATGTGTAAGACACAACCGTTGTGTTGTCAGATCTGAATTGAACATGCTGCTCTGACTTTAGACTGCAAAGTATGTCATTTTCATCATTTTTGGTAATACTGAATGTTACATTCAGAAAAATACAGTTGTTCACTCATTTAATGAAATGACATA